AATAAATACAGGAAGTTTTAAGTCTTTATTAGAAACAAACAATACTTTAGTTTTAATTGAAAGTTTTATCAGAACAGCCTCCTAACTCTGGAGGAAACACTTTAAAGATCCTCGCTGTGTAGTCTGAAATCAGACAGAAAGCTTTGATCGCCTGCCGTTAACACGGTAAATTTAACGGTTTTATTTAAGGACACGTGAACTCCTCCATCTGAGGATTTRCTTTTTGACTTCAGGGACATTTTGTCTGATCTTAGCAGACAGAAAYGTTGAACAGTTTCCAACACGGCTGCAGTAAAACTCAGATTGTCAGATTTCTTCCTGCAGCAGCTGAGAGACGAGCCAGAAGAAACAAAGTCCCACCGCCCACAGACCCCCGTCAGGTGGATCCAGTCCAACACCTGTGTGAGGGTCTCACTGGTAAACCTTTACCTTCAGGCGCTGTTTCAGCAACAAACAGTCAAACTGCAGTAAGGATGTCTGGGTGGGCGGGGTCAGGCCCTGGGTGGCTCCATGCTGCAGCTGGGACCTCCAGGTGGGCTGTGTGGGCGGGGTCAGGCACTGGGTGGCTCCACGCTGCAGCGGGACCTCCAGGTGGGCTGTGTGGGCGGGGTCAGGCACTGGGCTGCTGGCAGTGAGCACAGCTCCGCAGCGCCCTCTGTCTGTGGCTCTGGACCTGCACGGTGCAGCGGCTCAGACCGTAGGTGTGCAGCAGCAGGTGGCGGGCCTTGGCCTGGACGTCCTCCCAGTTGTTGGCACTAGAGGGCGCTGCGAGACAAAAGGCAGAGAAACGTTAAGATTGTTTAATAAAGTCACTGATTAAAAACATCGACTTCAGGTGAAAATAACTCCTGATGTTTTAAAAACAGAGTCACAAAGTGCCGGGTCACATCACGGTTCACAGAAACCGTCCCAGGATCTGTTCTGGTCCTTCTGACCCACGATCTGCAGTTTTMCCATGTAGAGTCCAAACTAAATATAGTTTCTTTTTGCAGCAGACTGAGGAGGACAGGAACCTGTTCTGATGAAACCGGGTCAAACTGTTCCTCCACWGTTCAGACTTCATCAAGAAAACAGTTCTGAGCTGGAAAATAAAAGCTTTTTCTGTTTTTATAGAATTATAATAGTTTATTGTTTTAAGTTTACAGTAAGGCTCCTCTGATGGTTAGGTGTGTTTAAAGCAGTAACAGTTTTAAATGTAAAATATAAACATGTGTTTACAGGGTGGAAGTGTTCAATAAGCACCTTCAGGTGATATTTGAACAGATGTGGCTCACTATTTGGCAACCAGACAGTTTGTGTCTTATTCATCCTTAATTAATGCTTAATAAACACTTAATGATTTCTGAAGTGTTTACAGATGAATTAATAACCTATAAACTGTTTATAAGCATCAATAAGAGGAGTGTTATTGTGAAGAGGTCCCAGAAACCTGCTGCTCTCAGTCAGAGTTTAGGTTTTAGCTGCTGTTCAGCAGCAGTTTGTCCTCTGAACAGCACAAAGGACAACACAGCCCACGTGGTTCTGGTCCACGCAGGACCACAGCACTCTGCCAAAGACCCGGGCTGAACCCTGAAGCCGTCCCTCCTCAGAGTCACTCACTGAGCTGCAGATGCACCAGCGCCGCCGTCTTATCGGCCGTCAGCGCCCACACGTTCAGCTCGTCCACCGACTGCACGTCCTCCAGCTTCAGCAGGTCCTCCCTGATCCGCTGGATGTCCAGGTGTCTGGGAACACCTGCCGGAGCAGAGGCAGAGTGACACCCAGCTCTGAGACCTGCAGAGGACCAAAGACCTGGACTCACCTTCCAACACGATGACTATGGTGTCTCTGATGATACGGACCGTGGTGAACAGAACCAGAACTGAGAAGATGTAGGTGCAGATGGGATCTGCTAACTTCAACTCAGGCTGTGGAGACACAACTAAAGTTTGACCTGGTTTGTTTAAAAACCTTAAAAGATCCAGGATCAGTTGTAACATTAGACTTTATTATATAAACATTTATTTTAACTGTGAAATAAAGACTGTAAAAATAANGTAATCTGTAACTAGTTACTGTTAGTTAACCTGTAATCTGTAACTAGTTACTGTTAGTTAACCTGTAATCTGTAACTAGTTACTGTTAGTTAACCTGTAATCTGTAACTAGTTACTGTTAGTTAACCTGTAATCTGTAACTAGTTACTGTTAGTTAACCTGTGATTTATAACTAGTTACTGTCAGTTAACCTGGGATCTGTAACTAGTTACTGTTAGTTAACCTGTGATTTATAACTAGTTACTGTTAGTTAACCTGTAATCTGTAACTAGTTACTGTTAGTTAACCTGTGATTTATAACTAGTTACTGTCAGTTAACCTGTGATTTATAACTAGTTACTGTTAGTTAACCTGTAATTTGTAACTAGTTAGTTAACCTGTGATT